TACATCAGTTTCAACATGCTCTTACATGTCAGCATCTTTCAGGCCTTATTAGCTTTTTAAAGATAATTTCCTTCATCCACACAAACATGCCAAGTAAAAGAACACCACTTAAATTTCTTCTGCAGGGCATTCACAGGCCACTTGAACCAGCAGCTGTACTCTATTTCCACCAAGTGGTTTTCCACTGTTTTCAAAGCGCTGTTTACTGTTCACAGTGCAAACACAGTGTGCCAGCAAGTCAATTCTGATTATGTTGAGGATTCTAATTATTAATAGTAAAACTAGTTGAAGAAGTAGCCTTATAATGACGGACATTTGGCTTTCGTAAGTAGATATTTCCCAGAGAGACCAATGTGGACTGTGCAATAGATTTATGCATTTATTCATTCAAGACTTATCCCAGATTTCCATGTAAATACAAATCAGAGGTTTTGCATGTTTTATAAATCAGATGTGGGTTTCAACAGAGAAGCCGGGATAAAAAAAGAGAAGCAGTAAAAGAAAATAGCAGAGGAGGGTATACATATCAGACTTATATATATTCTCCACCAGGCATGCCATCAGCCCTTCTGGTTTTTAAACAGCAGATCCTATTACACACCTTCTCTTTTGGGACATATAATAGTATCGTAATAGTTACCACACTACTCTAATGATCTGTAAACAACGATTCATGGCGGAACACCAACATCCAAAATCCAATACTATAAAAAGCATGCAGACTAAAAAAAACCTTAACTTATGATATATTGATGCAGTGCTCGCTTTATTGTTATGAAACTGTAACTAGGCCTACATATCATAATAGCCTCCCTTGTATGTAGCCGACGAAAACACTAAAGCGCTTTGATCCTGCGCTGTATTTTTGGTCGAGCTGCTGTATATCCAACTCCTTTGAAGAGAAACAGGCAACAACATGTACAAGTAATACAAAACACTCTCTCCAGCACCTTTCTTCCAATCTATTTTGGTTGGTTTGAAATCATAGGCCTTTCCCCATACAAACAGCACATATTCAAAATACTGCCACATTGTTGTCGTGGTTTCTGTTGAAAGCACTGCAATAACAAAGCCACGGAAAGCTATATGAAGTGGTATTTGTGACAAATAATACCCCAGAACAACCTCAACTGTCTGAGACTAAACTGCAGCAACAGAGGGCTGATCCCTAACACAAACACATCAAAATCTCCTTCTAGTCAAAAGGCCGTGTGGTACAAGTAGGTGAGAGACACAGTCCAAATGTACCCATAACAACTTAATAAATGTCACCGACTCCCAGCAGTACGGGAGACAAAAGAGAAGCAACAGCTAACCACATCCAAGATGAAACAGCCCAGCGTACCTCCGGTTCCGTTCACTAACAAGAAAGAATGAGGCGCTAAGAAGACGCCTTTTTCGCATCATTATTACATAATCAAAGGGCCACACCGAAATGAGGGACATGCCTGGGGAGAACCCGTCCCTCATTAGAGGAGTTCAGTGCACCGTCGTCTATTCCAAATGAGGCAATTTCAGAGTGTTTTACAGGCTATCAGGGATATCTGTCTTTCTCTTTCTTCTCAGCTGCTGCTGGTGTTTCATTGAGATAGCCGATTTTTTACCGGTGTATGTCGCTATATTTGTGGTCGCCTTTGCCATGCATTTCTAATATGACTGCCCTGCCCACTCATGGAGCTTAGAATTGAGTTACTGGCCAAGAGGGAAATAAATTATGACCAAAATATCAATTTCAATTCCCTTTACACTGCATTTTTTTCTAAACTGATGATTACGCTATTCATACTACATGCACATACATACAAAGCTAAAAAGCCAAGCATTTTCTTTCCAATAGGCTTTCCTTGACTGCTTTTCCTGATTAAAACAGCATAAAGAGTGTCATTTCCCTCAGCGCTCAGTGAAATGAATCAAAACATCCCTGAGGACAACACCTTTATATCCACCCGTGCAGAATATAATCTCACATTTTCAGAGCTGATACGATTCAGAGAGCGACACCAGTGCAGTCTGGCTTGGTCATGGATGCACACCAAAAGAGCTGTTTTACCTCATTAAACAACACAAACACTCTTGTGCGGTTAGAAGTCTCTTGATTGACTCCAACCACTTTAAAGAATACAAGTGGAATGAGAGATATATTTTTTACTATAAGTTGTAAAAAAAAAACAGCTGCTGGTGACACTTCAAAGGAGAAGATAACTGTTTCAACTTCAACAATATTGTGCAATATCAAACAATTAAATTCAATACGTAATTTGCCTTTCTGAGGTCTTTTACACTCCTGATTTGAATCAGTGATTTTCTACATTTCCAAGAATGACTTTCAGTGAACCACAGAATAAAAATGTGCTTGAACATTTCAGCAATGGGATTGGATGAAAAGAGCAATAGCTATGCTAAAACAAGAGGTTTTCTGGTCAAATAAAAGTAAGTTTCACCTCTTGTGTAAAAATGTCATGTAGCTACATTACATCATATCTATTGAGAAACTAGTAATTCAGTGTATAGATCTCCTCCTGTATCAACAAGTCCTCCAAATCAAACATTAAAACATGTTGTTTGTCCATGGCCTCTACAGCGACACGTCTTCTGATCTGACACCACCATCAGCAGTTTCAAATCGCTGTTGGAAAAAAATAGAAGCATTTTTTTTATTGTTTGACAACAAGATTTGGTTATGTTTAGGCACAAAAACAACTCGGTTAGGCTCAGGGAAAGATCATGGTTTGGGTTTAAAATGACTACTCTGAGGATCTCCGTTGTCATGGTAACAGCAATAAACACACAGTTAAGGTTAGGGAACGATCATGGTCGCGCTTTAGAAAAACAACACCGACTGTCGGTTGGAAAACAGCGGCCTCTCGATGTTTTGTTTATCCATCCGTCCACCTCCATTGTTTTATGGAACTTACTGAAACGAGTGATGCTGTCGCTCTTCTCGACAGGATGGACCCCTCTGTGCTATTAACTGAGGCTTTGGTGCAACATGGCAACCCAACTAATGTCAGAAATGTTATACAAATAAACTGTGCCATAGTCGTTTGAATTGAATGTTTCTACATCTACCCAACAAATACCCAGTGGAATAAAAAAATGAATAGCATTAATAGGTTTAGTGTTTAAGAGTAGACATTTCTATTAAGGGTTGACCGCTGAGATGCAAACGGAGATTTAATTTTTCTGTGTAAATTGAATTTCTGACAATTCAATCAGGACTATAATTAATCATATAATAACTGATAATGATTTTGTTCTCACCCATAAATTACTGGTGCATTGCTGAGTTTCAAGCACATACTTTTCAGTGTCAGACTTGATTCAAAGATTTGAGGCATGTTTTATTCATGCAGTACATTTCTTAAATACAGTGTGAACTGAAGGCTGTCTTCTGTCAACTTAAGTTTCAGAGAAATCTTTCGCCCATTTGCTGCAGCGGAATCTTTTAGTTTTTGACCTTTGGCCTGTCAGTGAGTGTGACAGGAGGGACTGCGTTGGCTAGGACTGTGGAAAACAAGGCCTTGTCACTACTCCCCCCACCCCCACAACCCCCCGAGCAGAGAGTGATAAGCATTGAAAGACAAAAAGTTTAGGGCTGGACGACTAAAAAAGAAAAACATCATGATCTCATAATGGAAAACCGCCACACTGTGAACTCACAGTTGTGTGTCAGGAGTGGGGAGCAGGAGAGAAGCGAAACTAGCGCATGTCATTGATGTGATGAGAGAACGCTTTGAGGATGACTGTCTTTTATCTACGCAGAGCTGAGCTGACAACCAAGAACTTGAATAAAAAAAAAAAAAGTACAGCGAGACAGCAGCCATCTCCAGCCTCATACAAAAACCATGAGTACTGGAACCCAAATCTTACTAGTGTGCAGACCTATTTTCTGATAAATGCTTTATCACAGCAGTTCTCTGGATGCTATAAAAGGGATAGCTTGTTATTGTAAGAGTGTGTGTAAACTATGCCCTGAAAATGTCATTTTTTCCGTGACAGTTTAGCTATTTTACAAATCTGCACCCTGTTTAATCCTAACCACATAACTGAGAAACATAAAACATCTGAAACAACTGCCAAGGTTTTCTCTCATCTCATAACATTCCCCATCCAAAGCAGACTTGGTTTCCACCATATAAAGTGCTGAATGGTGATCATAGGGAAATAAGCATTTTCCCCTTCCAAACAACAGGCATTACACAGATTAACAGCCTTTGTTGAAACATACTATTACCACACAAGTCCCTGTCGAGAAGGACCAGATGTCAGATAATAGGCTGTGCAGAGTGAGGTAGGTGCTGGCCTGAAGCCACTGAACAAGTAAGAACAGCTTCTTCCATATAAACCTCTTCACTTTATGGACAGCTGGGTGGGCAACCCCCTTATACCTTGAGAGACTATGTGTTAAATATAGCTTACACACAGAGGATACGTATAAGTATCCCCTATGTGTAACCTACAGTATATTCACCATACAAGGTAACTATATTTGCGTACAAATGAATAGATTATAACCTTAATATCCATTTACATAGTTGGATACAGTTTTAAAATCATCTGTAAATCTTGTGGTAGCCTCCCCGGTCTTTAAAGGTTATGCATGAATCACTATCACCAATAAATCATGTCATTTAAAGAGAAAAACACACAACAATGTGTTGCACAGTCCCAATATGAAAGTCATATAAAAAAATAAATTACACATATTGCAGTTTGCTGACAAAAAAACAAAAAAAATGCTTGTTATTGTGTACAAAGGACCAGCTAAGTCTATCTCATTAAACACTGCTGGGGGTGTTTATTGGCTTAGCTGGCTGGCTGGGCTTTGCCTTTGAGCAGCGGCAAGATATATGCATTATAGGTTATAGATTGGCTGCTGCAAGAGCCTGACGACTCTAACACACACATTTCATCAAAGGTGCAATTAAATAAACTTTAAAATGCAAATAGGCGCAGCAGAGGAACAGCAGAAAGTGTGAATAAAAAGAAGGACAGATTACCTTTTCTAGACTTGAACCTTTGTTTTTTCTGGTCAGCTTTGGCATCACATCCGTGCCTCCTCTGCTGCTGCTCCGGTACCGTGTCTGCTGCTCCGGTACCGTGTCTGCTGCAGCGCTCCGTGCGGCTCCTCAATCCAAATTACTCCAACCAGTCTGCACGTTTCCAACCGCTCCGAAATAGCTTGAGCGAGTGACTCTGGAAATAACTGCACCGATCAAAGCCGCTGCATGCAGTCCAAACGCAGAAGACAGTCACAGTAGCGACACCCATGGGTGTACGCGGCGCAAGCTCGGTCTGCAGCAGGTAGCAGTGCCCGGACTGACAGCCACTTCTCGGCCGCCTAATGTGCCAAGCGTCGGGGCCATTCACAACTAAAGTCATGCGAGTGTGTGTGTGTGTGTGGTGCAGTCAGAGCCAGTCGGTGCCCAGTGCCACGCAGCGCCGCAACATGGAGCGCTGACCTGCCTATCACTGGGTCAAGTCGGTTAAAATCTGTCAAATGCGATACTTCCGGTGCCAACTTTCAAAATAAAAACCTCATCAGTTGCAGCATTTACGACGCGTGGTGCAAAGCGCGCCAACCAAAATCAAAATAGACCCCGAAAAAACACATTAAGCTAAATAAAATAAATGTTTTTTTATTTATTACAATTTTGCAACCATCACTGCCGTATTTCCGGTAGTACTCGGGTTTTCTCTTGCGGCTTGACGGAGCTGAAATCCCCTGCGAACAGACGGGAGCACAGGAACAAACATACAGTGGGGGTGGGAGGCAGGCTTAATGAATTATTTATGACGAAAGAAGGCACTAATACCTAAATCATTCATAATTATTCAAGAGAAACAAGGTCGATGCCAATCAAACTTCAATTCCTCTCCGCCTGCAGATCATGGCATTTGACATTTCAAATGATAGATGGAGAAGAGGTTGTCCAGTGTCAGACATTGTCCTGACCTCTTCCTCAATCAATAAAGTCAATTTAAATCAATAAAATTACAGGCCCATCAGCCAGAATTACAATCAGGGAGGCTGTATAGAGTAAAACTACCTATGCACAGGGCTTGCTTGTGGCGTATGAGCTAAATGGCTGACATTTAAATTGATGCTCTACAACAGTTTAATGTATCATAATTAAACTAATACATATTGTTTGCTGAAATATTTAAGTACAATTAGGATGTTTTGAGAATTAAATTACATTGATTATATTTGTGGTTGTTATTAATATTAATATAATGATTGGTGATCATAGTTTAAATACTTTTTATTTTTATTTACCACATTTAGTGCTCATTCTATTGATTATTCAGTGAATGATAATGCAATTATCTGTAATCCACTTATTCTCTTATCGCGAGGTTAATTCACAACCGTATTCAGATATGCATTTAAGAGGTTGAACCCCTCGCTGCAGTTGCCCTCATAAAGTGATTTGGGGTCACTTTATGACATTTTGATCTGCACAAGTTTACACAGCATAGCCTTCTTTCTCAGTTTTTATAGCTTTACTACATCCTGTCAAGAAACTGCATAAAAGATCTGCTGGACCTACAGTTTTTGTGACTGTTGTCCTCTTAAGTGTGAGAGTCGGTATGTTAAAACAGTGGCAGCAGGAAACAATCAGCTAAATCTTATTTTTTCCTTCCAAATTAACAACTCTCTTTCAAGCCTTCCAGGTAGCTTTGTTGTTTCCATTGTAATATATGTGTATTTTATTCTTCAGTGCTCACTTATCATTGCAATTATGGCAGGTTTTTCAATTATTATTCTGCTAATAGGAAGCATAGAAGCAAAAACCCTAGGTAACCAGTCTTTAAAAAAAGAAGGCAATCCTTTGCTACCACATTTGATACATGACAGGATAAAGTCATGCCAACATCATACATCTCAGCTTTTATGTGATGTAACTAAATATATATCCTTCAGTTGGCAGATACAACAATCCCACCAAAGGGCATATTTGTACTTTAAAGGTTCCCTCTCTGCAAATGGTAATGAGAAATACCCGAGGGAAGCCCTGGAAACTGGCTTTGGTGCAGGGTTTCTGTTAGTGTGAGTGTGATGGACGAGGCAGTCAAAGATGGCCAAGTGGTTGAGCCCCCCCCCCCAACCTCTGGAAACACACATGCTTCCACTGGCACTGAATCAAATCCAGAGCTTTCTCTGTGTCTGTCTCCTACTCTCCCCTCTGTCTGAATATAAAGAATGAAACCAGTAAAGGTGAGTGTGCAGCCCACTCTCCCTTCAACAGACTGCAAGGGGAGGTGAGATTAATGGGGCCTAACGCAAGATTGCGGGGAGATCAGCAGAGTCGTGGGGAGCAAGAGAAGTAAGAGAGTGACTCAATGAAGCCTGGCCCTGGATCTTCTGCTAATCTACTGAAGCTCTGGCTCCTATAGCACCGCTCTGTGTGTGATGGCAGCTGGCAATGTCAGACCGAAAGATCACAGAGTATGCTTTTATCAGTTATATGCGGTGAAGAGGGAGCGGAGATCCAGACAGACGTTTGTGTTGCTCAGTGTCTTCAAATGTGAACAGAAATTTTAAAAAAAAGTAACCCACAGAGGTAGAAATTGATTCCTTTAGTGAGGCTGTTCTGCAGATTCAAATTAATAATAGGCCTACAAAATATAATCAGAGGATAAATGGTGATGTATGGTTAAGATAAGACTTTATTGATCCTGTGGGGGAATTTCACACAGCAACAACCCTGCAGTAAGTGATCCCAATTAGCCCCACCTTTAGCAGCTGCAGCATCAAAGTGATGTGTATGCATTAATTCATCAATACTTATAATCCAATAATATATCATGGGCCATTCTGCAAAATGAGTATTTTTATTTAAATATAAAAATCAAATGCGGGACTTTTGCTTGTATTTTTACTTCAGTAACTATAACATTATTTTAAATCTTTTGTGCGTTTAATTAACCAAAACACGACAGAAAAAAAGCCATTATCAACAGAAAGGCTACGAGTCGATAACAACAGTAAGCATGGCAACAGTTGCTAGGGAGAGACAGGGCAGATCCCTAAAGAGTTTGCTCATTTGCAAAGTCAGCTATATGTACAAAGGGAAATTCCCCCAGGACTTTATTTCCCAGAATGATAATAATACTAATAAAAATACGCGACAAATCGTTACTCTCGTGTTTAACACGATGCACAAACTCCTGAGAAGTTCGCTCGTCCAGTCGATACTGTCTCCATGGAAACGCGTCATTTGGACAGAAAAACAGCAGGGGGGTTTTTTTTTGTGCAGCGGTCAACTTCACATCATCCTGTAACTGCCTTCATCTTTCACATCGATCCGTCTAAAGAGTGAGTCAAAGGTGTTAAACTTTTGATGCATATTGAATGAATATTGATGCATTTTTATAGGCTATACTGAATTATTAATAAAATGAATGATTGATCATATCTGCCACCGGTAGGAAAGGTAGTGTGAGATTCCTGTAAACAAATGAACTAACGTTAACTAGTGTTTCAGCTGTTTTGCAAGTGTTATTTTAACCCAGAAATTTAAAGCTGTCTCTTAGAGGTGTCCAGCTGTTGGTAAGGACCCAAAGATTCATGTAATTGTATCTGAATTGATCTTAATAGGATTTTTTTAATTAACAAATGTTGGATTTTCCAAAAGAACAATATCCAGGTTTACTATTTTCATCTAAGTTACACAATTCAATCATATAATTGCATTTTTCAACATTTGAAATTAATTCTGCTGTTACACTTTATGTATTTGTGTTCTTGTAGTCTGTTTTCCTGTCCTGTTTTCTCACGTTTAACACTAACATTATGAAAAGATGTAAAGTAAAAGTACATTTTGGTGGAAAAAAACTTTCTTTCCTCACATAACAACTTGTGCATAACTCTTTAAAGCAGCCTACCACGCACAGTCAATACACCTGACAGTGGATACAGGTGTTACACCTTGCTGCAGTCTTGCTTTCACCAGGATTATTTCACACCTAAGCCTGCAAATTGTTATTCCACGTCAGCTAGCTGCCATCTGTTACGCTGTAATTATTTCCTTGACACTTTAAATGACCTTGTGTTTCAACGTTTTACCTCAAAGGTAGGAGCGACAGGGCGCTGAAAACCTCAGTAGCGCTGAACATGTTTGGGGTGAGAAGGAAACAACAAGATTTGGACCATCAGGTACTGAAAGTTGCAAGATTTAACAGATTCCTCCTTGGCATCCACTGTCTCATTGCCTCTTTTCAATCTGTCAGAATCAGGATCAAAGATGGGATAGGGAGACGGCAGATACAGAGATGAAACGAGAGACTCCTGGCATGCAGACTTTTTCGACGCAGTACATGTCGGCTGCAAGGAAGGCCTCGAAGGTAACAACTTAAACACCACAATAATAAGGCACCATATGTAGAATTAGAAACTACACCAGCACTCATTACCACAGTTTCATTATGGCTTTCGAAGGCAGTCTAACACTCCAGATCCTCTTTGCTTGCCACCTGCAGTTGTCCCCCTGCAGCTCTGGGAAAAGTGTTTCGTCTGAGCGAGGGGGCCCGTGGAATAAAGGCTCAGTGTCCCGCCTTCAAGCTATCTCCAGTGAAACCCAGAGCATGACTGCAGAGCTGGCAGCGACTTCAAAGATTCCCCACAGTGCAAAGGCCCCCCTGGCATCCAGATGTAAGTTTTCTAGGATGCATTTTGTGCAGGAGGCGACTGGCCAGTTTCCTCCCTACCTGGCTTTTTAACTGATTTATTTTGTTTAAAACTTCTATTTCATAATATTACCCGTAATTTGATATCTGCTGTGTTTTCGTTGCAAGCCAATATGTTGGATTTCTTTTGGAACACAGCTTTTTTGCGTCGCCTTTTCCAAGGCAATAAAGACAAAGTACACCCTGCACAGTATCACAACAAGCACAGGCCTGAGCATGTGAAGGACAGAGTATTAAACGGATCCACCCATGGGGAAGCAAGCAAGCAAACACAAATCCAAGACATCCTGAGGAGCAAGAACGAGATGAAACACCTTTTCAGCAAAACAAACACTGAGGAGATCATAGACCCTGAGCGCCCCACCAGTTCTGAGACTCTGGACTTCCTGGGAGGTGTCCCCACTGTCCCACGTCTTTCCTCATTTGATATGCTGTCCAGAGAATCTGAAGAAGGGGAGGCAGATGATGGCCTGTTCTCCCGGGATGCGTACAAACAGAGCAGCTCAGCCTCAGCTACTCTCTCTCACAGCACTCACTGCCTGCAGTCTTTCAGTTCCCAGTTAAGTACGTTTTCAGGTGGAGCATCAGTTTGTAATAGTGATGGATACAGTCTCATTCCTCTCCTGGAGCAAGCAAGGCAACCTCATGTGGCACCACTGCCACCTATCACCAACAGAGTCAGGAGGAGTTTCGTGGCTTGCACACACCAACATCTCCCTGAGCTTCAAAGCAGGTGGCGAACATCACAGACAAGCCTGGCCTCCTCACTCAGGCCTAGCTGCTGTCAGAGGCAGTCTACTCTGGTCAACAGGGAAGAGGACGCTGTTCAGAAAGGAACCATTACCACTGACAGACCGCAGCCTTCCAGTGAGGCCTGGAGTCCAAGTACCTCTGGACAGCTAGATAATCTGAATACGGATGATATGATGGCGTTAAGTGACATCGGAGTACACGATCAAGAATGTCAGGCAACCCAGGGAGAAGCGACCGCTGTTCAAAACGCCCAGTCTCTGCAAGATGGCAACAAAGAGATTGTATGCAGACTCACACAAAGGTGACCATTTGAATAATTTAATAGACTTTTTAATGCACTGAATAGCTATGACATTCAAGATATCCATCATTTTAGATTAAGACAGTATCCTGATGAAGACGTGTATGAACGGCTTAGGGTATAAATTCTCTTGAGGTAAAAGTTTTAATTGCGTGATCTTCTACTCTCTGTAGGTCATTAGTCGAGTTGTCTAACGAAGAGGATGAGGATCAGTGTCGGATCTGCCACGGTGACGACAGTTCACCAACCAACCCACTGATATCACCCTGCCTGTGCTCAGGAAGTCTGCAGTTCATTCACCTCCACTGCCTGAAGAGATGGATCCAGACGAAACTCGAGTCCGGTGAGTAGATCGCTAATGGTGATGACTTGAATTTGCCATAATGTGACAGATCAGAAAGATTTTCGAGAATTTAGGATGTTCGGTGATCATGGACGATATGTTTAGGCCTACTGCATCCACTTTTCCAGGGTCAGAGCTCTATATTGTCAAAAGATGTGAGCTTTGCCTGGGGGGACTAACACTGGCCCCGGATACGTTCGACTTGGACGATTACTGCAGAAGTCATAACGAAGAGGTAAACTGAGGCAGAATTAATACCAAACAATACAACAACAAAAAAACTGTTGCTTCACTTGATGACAGCACTTTTGTCTTGCTCCCGTCTGTCTTAGGTAGACATCACTTTACAACTTCATGTCCGAGAAGTAGCTGAGATGGTGAACCTCAGCTCATCGCTCTCCAGAGCTTTCCTGCACAGCACAGTTCCCTCCGCAGTCCCCAGGGTAACTATACATTCTTAAACAATTCTTTTACTTACTTATAAAGAGAATGACTCCTGATTTACACGCAGAGTATTGAAAGTGAAAATCTCTACTTAAAGTGCCGTTATTAATTCTGTCCTCAGACTCGGATGTGGACGATGCTTAACTACATAATGAGGATGCGAAGAATCCGAGACGGGAGGAACCTCTCACCAGAGCCCTCTGACACCTGATCTTCAGCCATTCTCCATTTCTTAACATCTTGGTTAATGGGGAGCTAAACAAGAGTATTACAATAAACCACAATGCATCAAAGTGAGCCGGTCAATGTAAAAGCAGTGGTCATATACAGTATATTTAGTTACTGTTTCATACTTTTGCAAGGTCATAAGAGATTTAGACATGAACCTATACTGACAGGTTAACTGCAACATCAGTATTTTGTTTTACAGAATGTAGAATGAAATAATCTAGACACATGTCTGTCGCTAACAAACATTTTAATAACGTTGTAAGAATGTAACCACTCTATAGTGCTTTATTCTTTAGGCAATATTTCATCACATGAGGTATTTCAGTACCCACATGTTGCTTTGTTTTAATCGAATCAACTCACTTAGGAGCACAGTACATGTTCTGCACCAATATCTACAGCTAGAAAACAACCTTAACTATAAAAAGTAAGAGCGTAAAGCAGTATTCAGTGAATGAGTGTTATCAAGACTCAAGTTGATGTTACAGAGGAACTGTTACTAACAATGTGCATCAGGGTCACATGAGCGAAATCGCTGATGCTCTTCCTCGAGATTCCTGTGATGTGACTCAGTTCTCCCACGACCTGCAATGCATTAAAAGACAGCCAACGTCAGCAAAAACAGTTTGTATGGAGTGTGAGATTAAGTACACACTAACATTAACTAAACTGGGGTAAGTTAGATGACTTGGTGTGCTTGATATGGCTGCATATTATGTCTATTATGTTTCAAAGCTCCAGTGTGTAACATTTAAGAAGCGCTATTGGCAGAATATAATAATGTGTAACTATGTTTTCATTAGTGTATAATCACCTCAAAATAAGAATTGCTGTGGTTTTACCTTAGAATTAGCCTTTTATATCTACAGATGCCGTGGGTCACCTTTCATGGAGGCCGCTATGTTTCTACGGTAGCCCAGGACGGACAAACCAAACACTGGCTCTACATAGGGCGCAATCGATCTGCAACTACACCTCTAGATACCACTAATTCCTACACACTGGTCCTTTCAAACACTGAAAGCAGATGTTGTGTGTGTTCACCTGCTGCCATTTTCTGACGTAGTAGATGAACGAAGCCACAGCAATGACACTGACACCAAGAAGCATGTAGTCTTCAGTGACTGTCACAAACTTCTCTCTGTTTAGAAAGAGTTTAGTATTAATCCAGCTATAATCAATATTTTTTACATTACCAGTGGAATATGCCCTGCAGAAGGGCGAAGAAACGAAAACAACACAGACACTTCCCAGCTGCTTGTAGTCGACTCGACTGCCAGTCGAGCAGCTTGTCCGCTCTACCGTGACAGTAACCACCTGTCCCGCAAACATCTGAAAATGTGGCTAAAAGAGAAATGTAATACCGCTGTTCTGTGGACGGGCTGACACGCTGAGTGGTCGTCACTAACAAGGAGTTGAAGATGGCGGTCCTCTGTAGGCTGACGAACTGGAGAACATGTTGGCACAGGTGATACAGGCGCTCCACGGGGACGGATGGCTCGTTGTGTCCTAAAAAAGTTTAGTTACCTCTGTCAGAGTCGGTACAGCTGTTCAGTGGATATGAATTATCTTCACAGACGCTTTGATTTAATACTTCACAAATGTTTCTCTGTGTTTAAATATGATGTCTTACCAAGAACCTCCAGAAGGATCTCCACATATGTCAGTGGGTTTGGGGCATTTAGTCTGAATTCAAGCCCTTTTAAGATCATCAGCTCTGATTCCATTACAGTCTGCTTGGAAACACTATAGCCGACTGAATGCAGAAAGCGTACGGCAGTATTGTTGTCGATTATCTGGAAAATACGTGAAAAATTACAGATTATTTTTAAGGTATTTCAGGTTTTTATTCCTGGGCGTCGCAGAACTTACATGACTGTGTAGGGACAGTTTGCTTGCAAGTTGCACGCAGGAGAAGATGATGAGGGGGAACTTCTCCTTGAGCTTGTCAAACACAGCATCCTCGTGACTTCTCGGTGGCTCGGAAGCGGCACCTTGACGCGTGGGTGTGGTCAACAAATCTGTGAGGTGCTTGACCATGAACCTGGGGGAGATAATTATTCACATAAAGGCATTACTAAGACAATATCACTCTGGGTGTGGCAGGGGAAAGCAAATGTGCTGCTCCTTCTTACCTTTGAAGTAATTCAATGGCATGGTATCCAGCTAGTGGATCAAGTCTTAGTTCTCTCGTGATCAGGAAGATGTATTCTGCATTACACCAGAGAGGGATACAGGCGGTGAGCAAAAGCAGAGAACAAAACTGAAAAATCCCCTTCTGAGTGGAAGCATGAGGTCAACATGTTGGGACAGAGTTGGTGGATTGTAATCAGAGCAAACAAAATACATTAGCAGGAAGGAATCTGTACGGTAGTAAATGTGTTTGGGCCATCCCGTGTAAAGTGACACAGAGAGGGGATCAATAACATGAAAGAGGAGGCGTTACTCTTCAGGTGTTATTGGTTAGTCGTCGTCATTATATGAGCTGTTAGACTTAGACTTAGAAATAGAAATTGAATTTCCAGCAGCTGACAAAACAGTGTAGAAAAATAAAGAG